GTTCACGGTGGGATTTGTTTTAGCTAAGTGTGAAACCCCTGCACTGGTGAGTGACGATTTTCAATGTTGATACAACACAAATACGTGGTTAGCAATGAAACTTACCCAAAAAAGTTGTGAAATGAAACGCGCATAAATTAATTACAGTTCATTTACGGATTCGTAACTAAGAAAGGCAGAATACTATGATCAAAGTCCAGGCCAATGAATGAATGCGTGGGGAACGCAATACTTTCAGTGAAAAGTATGGATAGGGAGCTCATTTCTCAGACGAACAAACCCAAATGCAATAATCATTGCAACATTCGTGTGACGAACCTATTAGGTTCAATTAATCAGACGATAACCATACTGACACATGTCAGACGGCATAGTGCACGAGAAAAATTTCAAAACAACCGAGATTGTCGAAACTAATTTGTAAATCACATTTTGCTAAGCCTGGTGAAATAAATAAATATTCCGGAATAAGTGGAACTCGGAGAATGGTTCCAGAACTGACGTTTAAACAATAATTCGTGCTATTCGTTTCTTAAGCAGCCATGTTCCACTGAATTTCGTGTGGCGATTTTGATTGCTGTATTTTGGCTTTTCGTGTGGCGATTTTGATTGCTGTATTGTGGCTGTTCATCTGAATGAAGCATTGGGATTAATACCGTAAATCTGAAAGTGCAATCGGGTGGTATTGGGCAAAGTTCAATAGTTTAAAGTTTTGAAGATATTGAGAAGATGCAAGATCACCAATTCGTAATACACTCAGCTATATCACTCACTGTCTTGAAACATGAATATAGTAGTAGTAGTAGTAGTAGGGGTCAAATTTCAATTGATTAGATTGAGAAGATGTACGAGCACCACTTCTTACTACAGTCAACCGTATGATTCGGTCTCCAAATATGTATCATAGTAATCTTGAGGTTACCATGCGGGAGGCCGAACGCGACATAGAGGATGGAGTCCTTTGGTTAGAGTTTTCATACCCTCAGGCCAGGTCATATGTTAACAACTCTTGGTGGACTTGGGGTGAAACGATTTTCGCAGCTGGGTAAAAAAGATTGCACTAGTAGATGCCTGTCTGGGAGTTACTATGACTCAATGTCTGGGAATGAGTTTCGCCTATGCAAGCTCTATATTCCAAGGTACATTTACTGTTAATATAAATATTAATTAGGGACAGTGAACGCATTCAACAAAACGCCGAGATTATATTCTCTTGTCTCTTGAAAGAGAAACATCATCTATGAGATCATTCAACGTAACGAATAAGACGTTCAGTTCATTAAAACTGCACTTGTTGTTGACGTCCAAGCTAATTTTATGCTTGCGAAAGGAAGCAAACGTTCCGACTCTGCTGTGCAGTGGAACAACTCTCTTAGGTCACCTAATCGGGCGAGTGTTTCAACGTATTTGTGATAGCTACTCTGTGCGCACGTGAACACCGGAAAAATGATTTATTTAACCACTACAATGTTTTCATGCCTCGCAGCATCAGACTACACTGTGAACCTAATCGAAGCACAATAAATTGACAGCGGAGAGATTGGAAATTGCGAGGAAGCGTCGGACTACTTTTAATGTCTGTGGTTTAACAACGCAACTAAGTAGAAGCTCATCTGAAGCTGATCAAGTGTTTGAACAGCATCAGGTCCATCTGCAAACACAAAATGCAGTTTTATGCTAATTCTAATTCAGCCTTAAGGAACTGCTTGACCATTATACTATCGAATTTAATAATGATCTTGAAGATGGTTAGACTTAAGAGCCATGGTTTAAAACCTGGGAGGGTGCCCCCGGAATTGTTTTATTTACAAGGACCATGTGTCGCAATTTAGACTTCACCTTCGAAAGTTTGGAACCAATGAGTATTTCGAACTTACCGTCATATATCTACCACATAATCCAAGGCTTTGCAAAGTAACGAAGTGGAGGCACAATGAATCACGACGGGGTTGCACGACTGACGGAAGTAATGACCTAGTACAAGTGCTTGTGTTCTCCAAAGCACAATTCCAGGTATGTAGAACAGAATGCCACAAATGCAAACTTCATTTAAGTTCATTGTTCATATAATCAGCAAACCGAGATATCCTTTAGATCACAACGAACAAGTAACAGAATTAACAACTCAAGCTTATTTCTCGTATGGAGATTTTCACTTTTAACAGTTATGGCATTTTAACGAGCTCAATTGTGAGAAGTGTGACACCTGGGTATATAAAAAATACTGCAAGCTAATGGGACAAATGTTTCCCCAAATACTGGTTGGTTTGTGTGAGGGGCTTCCTCTGTTTACTCATGCCCCTATGCAGCGGGAACAGAGAGAGGTTTCTTCTAAGATATGCTCCAGTGTATTGATTGTCTTCCTTATGATTTAATCAGTCGCATGCCACAGCCAATTTCTCTTACTTCCTACATTTTGGTCACACGTGCAGTGCTTTTCTTGGTTTCTTATGAAATTTCAACTGGAACGGTTCCATTCTCTTCCTGCAGTTATTTATTGCTGCGTACTTGAAGAACATTTCATTTGGATCGTCTTTCATTTATTTTGTTGACCCTTTGCCCGATTCTTATTTCGTTCTGTTAAACCATCCTTTTATTCTGCCTCGTGGAAGATGAATCTGCTTGCTGCAATCACTTAAAATCCCGGCTGAAATTGAGCTCCGTTTCCAATCTGTATTCTCTGAACTCACTAGCAAAAGACGCGTGACGATGTGTCCCGTTTCGTTAGGAATAACCACCGTACGAACTAATCAATCCGTGCAAACGAGTATTGTCACAGCGCATCAGTTTTCAGTCAAGATAATCAATAAGAAATCAAATATATTCTTAAAAAATAAATTGAGTTAAAATTTATGACAGTAGTAACAATTTTGCAACAAGCTGTGAACCCCGCTGACAGTCCCCAGTAGTCCTTACTAACTGATGAACATCCTGCCGAAGGGTTACCTCAGTGGGTTGAAAACCCGGCGTCGGGAAGGCAGATCTGTATGCTACCGAGCGCGTCCCGAGGTCGCGGATAAGGGAACGGCTGTCATCTCACGCCTAACCGTGAATAAGGTGGGCCTCGGCCCTCCAAATAAGCGGTCACGGACGATATGCGGCAGAGTTGGAGGATGTGGTGGGTTTACCCCAGCAAGGGTTCTTCGCACAAAACACCCCATATATCTGTGGACAGCGCTGTGACGTGGTGAGTGTGGACCGCCACTAAATATGGTCATTAATGGTTTTCGAGATCCATTCCTTGACAAGATTTTC